TAGGGCCTTGCCTCTGAGAAAAGTCCATAAAAACAAAACTTTCACAATGTCTGGTGGGGTAGGACATTGTAAATATTGAAGGTAAACGTCTGCACTGCATAATAAACCCTCACAAGTGCCATCTTCACCAGCATACTTACTACAGGTAGCCATCAATGAAGGAAGAAGAGATTCCCCAGACTGTAGAGAGGAGTGTAATTCAAGATACTTAAGTTCTCTCTCATGGGAGAGAACAAGACTCACTGCATGCTTGTTTGGTCTTGCATTCTGTAACATAGGAGGCATTGAGGCAGGATGCAAGTGCGAGAGCCAACAGAGTCCAAAAATGCAGTGGCAGAGGTGAGTGGAACAGATAGAGCCATGACAAGACAAAACAAAGTAAAACCAAACTAAACAAGGAACAGCAACAGGAATATGGACAATACAAGACAAAGGGACTGAGCAAAACACAGGGGTATAAATACTACAGAAAACGAGAAACACCTGAGACCAATGAGAGGACAGGGCTAGGAGACAAAGAAAAGGTGAAGACACTGCAGGACAGGGGAGGAGCCAACATGACAACAAAAGCACGTGTCACAAGAAAACAGAGGCACATAGCAGATATACAAAAACACACACAGCACTGGGAAACCAAGAAAAAGGCAAAAACAGAGAAAGACCAGGACAAAGAGTGAACGGATGTTACAGCCTTTATATAATGTGGAGTTAAACTGTTTCAGTTAAACTTACAAAAGGTTCAGAATCAGAATCAGAATCAAGCTTTATTGGCCAGGTATGCTTACATATAGAAGGAATTTGTATGTTCTATACACTAGCTCATCTTTTACAGCAAAGGTTCTTCATTTCTTTTTGGTTCTATATCCATCCATGAAATCATCAATTGACAGTGAGGGCCCAATTAGATAAGGGAAAGAGGTTTATTTGTGAAATAGCAAAGCAATTAATGTGACTGAAACATTATAAGAACTGTAGTAGGGATAAAAAGTCTGAGACCGCTAGTGCTTTTATTTTGCGTTCTTTTCTTTCTTTGCAGTAATACAGCACAGAAATATGATTCAAACATCTCCTGAATCTGTAGTGTCGCCCCTTCCATTCCATCTTATCGTGAGGTCATACGTAACACACATCCAGAGTTATGAGCCTATGAAGAGGGGTTGAGAAACACGTTATCTGCCACTCAATGTGTGTCCACCAATTTTGTGTAAAACTGACCAATGGACACTTAGGAAATCACTAAGGGCTCACCCGCCACCTCGGAAACCCTTTATTCTTCATCCAGTTGATATCAGAGACATGTGTGAAATGGCGTGCAGAGAGTTTACAGCAGTTGAATTTGCTGGAAAGTAGCGATGAAGATAATGAAGCATTTTGACACATATGGGTTTTATGTTATAGGCAAGTGTCTTTAAAGGCAAGTTTAAGAAGATATGCAAAAATCGAGAAAATGCCCTCAGACCCCAGAGAGTTAATACAATACATTTTTCATATGACTCAAAAAGAAAAAAAAAAACTATATGGAGTACAAGTGATGACTTGAGGCCATTCAGAAATTTGAGGATAGAAACCACAACACGTGCTCTACACCCACAAAACATGATTACAAAGTAAAGTAGACTGCTGTTGAGGAATTAGCTAAACCTTGTTTGACCTAAAATGACAAGACATGCAAAAATAGAGCTGAAATCTCAACAATCACAGACAGCTTAGAGTCTATCCATTTCCCATAACTACCACATGACAAACCTCCTCTCCCACTTTCAGTTCCCATTGAGCAGCTCCATTGTGCAACTTTGTTTCATGCTGTTTTAACTTTGTTTTAGCTCTATATTTTATTAAGATAACCAACATACCACACAAACCAAATCTTTACTGTGATTTCCTTGATTATGAGAGTGAACTGCCAGTTACTGCAGCCTATGAAAATGGCTCAACAGTCATGTCTGTTTGAAAGTAACTCTGGATAACCTCTAGGAGACAAACAGCATGCTGTGGTTTGATAATGCCTTTATACAGAATTATTAAGAGTGATTGCACAATTTGAGAAAAATAGGGACTTTGTGATCCTTTGGCTCTGAGTAATGAAATGCCAGCAACATTCTCGTGACAAAAGAATGTGTCACATAGAAAAATACAATACACAGATATCCAGTTCTTCACCACCACTGAAAACAGATGTTTAAGCACTGCAAAAATAATTTAAAAAATATTTTTTCTTTCGTGCCATTGCATCTTTACCAAAGCATGTTTACATGCTTTAGTGAGAATTCACCAGTATTTGCATGGCCTGTTTCAGTTGGCAATAAACTGAGAGGAACTTTTAGAAATGTAAAATGTAATGCACTGATTAACCTTATCAAACTGAATGCCTTGTTGGACATTTTGAGATTGAGCATAACTCTGGATATCTGCTTTCCTGCAGAGTCTGGTTCCCATTATAATCTGCCACACCTGGGGCAGCATGTTATATGCAGGTTGGTACTAAACTCTTTAGGAAAGTAGATCTCCAGGAGGAGGGTTGGTCGCCAAGGAGCTAGAGGATTGTAAGGCTTTGCAAGCAATATCAATTTCAAAATGAGCGACATGTGATGAATCAATACAAGACAGAAACAGACATATCTACCTATCAGACAGACATGGACAGAAAGAAAAAGCAGACAAAAAAAACATTAGGCTACTAATGTGGTTCTTAAGCAGTTACACATTCCTAAAGCCCCAGAAAATCTAAATCCGTGTTTTCTTTCTAAGTAGGTCAATCCTGCAAACAGTATGCATGTACAAAGTATATTCTTTTTTTAATGGCAGTTTTATTCTTGGGTACTGTGTATGTAAGCAGTGTCCTCACCAATCCAGAGGCTGATGTGGTTTGTCCCACCCACACAGATTAACAAAACTGTGGTCCCTTATGCTGTGTTTCGGTCAGAGAAACGTACAGAGAGCAAGCTAACAACCAAGCGAAAGCTATTCTAGCAAGAATGTCCATTCATCGCTTTATGTGGTCAACTGCCCATGCCAGTGTGGTTTTTGTGAGCAGTGGGCACAGCAGAGATAGTCTACAACAGGACCTGCATGTGAGCTGTGGTCATAGGTGCATAGTTCAGGTCCAGAAAATAAAAATACTCCCTAGGATTTGGCTCACTGTCTGCCTTTTGTAGTGATCTCAAACCAGCAGCTTAAGTGTCCAGGCAGTTGGAACAAAGTCCTGGGAGGAATTACTTTCTGGTCCTGAATTGCCTCTGGCTTTGTGTTAAGTTCTGCTTCGGTCAGGTAGCAGGTCGGGAGCTGTGGACTGAAGGCTGTCAAACATGCACGCTCATCAGAATATTAGGACATCCAGACAGTTCTCAGATAGGTCTTTTGAGCCATGTTTTATTATATTTCTGTCCTGCTTTTACATTCAAACTTTGCTGTATGTTTAATATAACACTCAGTTTTAGTATCTTACAGACATTTTCACACTTTTGACTATATATATATATGTTCTACGTGTCAAAAGTGTTGTATATACTGGGTATACATACAACATGTCATTGCATATTCTCATGCGAAATGTTGTTTGGATGCACTTTACATGTTTTGTTATTGCATGATGATGTTTTCTGTTCAGGTTTACCAGTTCAACCTATAACCATGACTGCTATCAGATGGTCAATTCCAGTCCCCAGACAGTTTGTGATCAGAATGGTAAAGATACATGAAGCTATTTGAGTCCTCAGAAACTGGTGACTCTTGTTTTTTTTTCTGAGCCGTTTGTTCATTACTGTATGAAACAATCCACTTAAAATTAGCTGTTTCAGTTCATTCTGTTACACAGTATTTGCAGTAAAGCAGAGGATAAATAAGGGCACATCCGAAAATGCAGATAACCAGGCACCATTAGCCAATGAGTAGCACAATATAACAGAAAGAATCCAGCTAACAGAACTCAACCCAGTAAACATGACTCTGCATAATAAAGAATACTCAGAAGACATGGGTGATTCAGACTTAAATTTTATAGAGTAATACTTACCAATTTAGGCAATTTGTTTGCACAATTGTATTGACTATAGCGGTGTCATTTGCGGTATTTAAATGAGAGGTTAACCTAACTAGGCTGATTGAAGTTAACCAAACTATTTCAACTAAGCAAACCTTGAAAAAGTAGAGCAATGCCGGCTCATTTGAATATTTTTTAATTGGCTGAGTTAACCCTACTTGCTGTAAAAGTGTGCATCGCTGAAAATTAGAAATGAACTATAACACAAATCTGAAGTTATTTAAGCTTGAACCTGCTAAATAACTTAATTTTCCCAAAGCAATAACTTTGCATGATTTTTTTTTTCTGAAAACCTTTTTTACAGTGTAAGTAATAGTTTTTCAGAGGTTTACTCAAATGGAACCTCAAACTAGCCTTGCATTTCATCACTGTCTTAAAAAAAATCAAACAAAAAAAAAATAAAATGTGTATGCGCATTTTTGTTGATTTTTATTTTTCTGCACCATTTAAACACAGCAGCTGTCTGTTACATTGAAATTCACAATGAATGGGCTTATTTTGGAGCATTTCTATTAGTCAAGTCAACAATAGAAATGTTCCAAAATCACGTGGAATAAAACCTCTTGACATTAACTTACATTAAAAGGTTTTTGCTTTCTCCTTTGAAGTTACCGCTTTGAAAACACATGTTTTTCTTTGGACAGGTTAACGGATATGTTATGTAAAGATATGTTAACTGAAGAAGCATACTTTTATTCATTTGTTGATTTTACTTTATTTTATTGTGGTAGTTAAACTGCCCCCCATTTGTCCAGCTCTCTCCTACACCCTCACTTTCTTTGACTTATAGATGCTCATCCAAATCTTCAGGCTTAGGTTTGAACAGTTTCCATGTGCATAAATAACAAGAACCCTTATAAAGATGCTCCCATGAAAAACTGGCAAATAAGTGATGAAAGATGAGCCCGCAGGCAGGCAAGTACTTAGCACAAGGTATTTCCTGAAAATGAGATCAGAGGAGTTCCTGATGTGCACAGGGAAGGTTTTATCAGTGGCAGTTTAGCCATATATTTGCCTACTCACTACCAAATGCTCATGACAGAACATAAGTAAGAGGAAATGGCAACCGAGCACTCCAAACTTAGTAAGTAGAAAATATTCTATATATTTCACTCTTTATTTATTTATACTTCTAGCTAATTTACATTGGCAGCAGATTCTCAGTCATTGTCAATAGCACTAAATGTTCTTTGCAAGTCTTTCCAACAGATTTGTGGTGGATAATATATGTTTCTAACTGTAATGTACTAAAAATATTATACAACATAGTGTGGTGTATCATTAATTTATTGCTAAATATTCCATTTTTTATGCTACTAAATTTTAAACAGTTAGAAGAAAGTCACTTTTGCATGCTACATAGCTGAATTAATACAGGACAACTGTGAAATGTCATCTTAAATGAAAGCTACATTTTACTAATGTGGTTCTTTTAATCATATGCTTCAGTGCAAAGTGGCCAAAGTTGTGGGTTAAGTTTACTAAAAGCACCAAACTGGGTCTACTACTTAGATATAGTTGTTATGTAATTCATATTATTTCAGTTCTAACACATAATCTGATTATAGCAGTAACAATCTGATTGAACATAATCTGATTGTATTAACCGCAATTTAACCATGATCATGTGACTTTTACTCTAAGCATAGGTTTTTGTTTGGCATGCACTCTTCAAATTGAGGCATGCACAAAAATGCCTTGAGTTATAGTGACATGTTTTTTCCAGGATGATCCCAAGAATGTTCCCCTTGCCAACCTGCACTGTCTGAAAACAAAGCCTTTTTCATTATGTCCCCTACTGTGATCACAACTGTAGACGCACCTTCATTACTGTCTTTCTCCATTGCCTTCAATAAGGAACAACTGTTTCATTTTGAGAGACTGCTGCGCATTCAGTTGGTTTCCAAAGTTGCAACAGATGCGAAATGCAGCATTTTTTTTTTAATACATTAAGCCATACGTACTTTATAGTTCAATATTCAGAACATCCAGGAGGACAGTTCATACTACAATAAAAAAGGAAAATAATGCCAGACTTCAGATAGCATTGTCTTTGTGTGGAAGCTAACCTGCAACTGAACACTGTTTTATAAGCAAAATAAAATAATAATACTGAAATATTTATATAACTACTGATTTCACAGCTCGAAAATCAGTACGTTGTCCCAGCTTTAGAAAAACAAAAAAAGAGGGTCCATCTTTTTTTTGATAGCCACCTATACCACCCTATAGTGTAAAAAATTGGTATTAGGCCAGGTTTAGGTTTTGGGTTAAGGTTAGGTTTAGGGTTAGGACCCTAAGGTTAGGGAAAGTCAAAATGATTTTCATAACTGAATGTAAGTTAAATACAAGGTAAAAACCTACAAAGCCTTTACAGTGGGCTATCCAAATAAAATACAAACAGAGTGCAAACCTCACTTATCTGATCATACTCAGCTAGGTCTGTCCAATGACTGCTACCACTAAGATCGCTCCACCTTTCCATTTTCTGTTCTGCATTGGGCACTTTTCCAAAGAATAATGACGCTTTTTAGAGTAAATCTTGAATTCTGTTGGTTCAGAGGATGTAATCTAGAGCTGCAATGATCTCTTTTGCCTTCGGTCTTCATTTCATTTCCTTTCCTCTCAGAAAGTCATCGTCATCAGATTGGGGACATGCAAGGAGGGCCCACCCAGTATGGCGCCATTCCATCGACTGCTGACTCTGATGATGAACCCATCTGTTCCACCTTTGAGGAGAGGGTAGCCGTCCCAACCGATGACTCTGAGGTATAAAAAGACCACACAGTGTACATCCATGCATATTTAATTAAGCAGCATTTTTTATATAGTATTAATATCATCAGGACACAGCATCTAGTATTATGTGTACATTCACCAAGTAAAGGTGCCAAACAGGTTCTTTGGAGCAATTCCATGGAAAATGGCCCTTTAATTGTGTAAAGAACCTTTTAATAAACCGTTCAAAAATGCCGTGTGTATGAAATATGATATGCAAGTTTTTGACTCTCATTGAAATTCCAAAAACCTTCAGAAACTCCTCTCTAAAGTTCCTAGTGACAATGATTGTTTGCATGGTGAAAATATCTTAAGACAACGTTGTGAAAGAAAAGCAACTTGGTGTAAGAGCTGAGAATAAACATGTAAGTAATATTTGAATATGACTGTTTAGTGCATAAAAACATGAGTATCAAATTTATGTCCGCAGGTATTATGAGTAATAAAAATCTACACAGTGTGCAAAATGTGTTTCGGTAAACTGCAAACTCTGCAGCATGGCGGATTTCCAAGTGCATGTTGGTGACAAGTGGTCTAAAAAATGTGGTAGTGAAAATAAGAATAAGAGCTTTTTTGCTTCTCTTTTTGGTTTTACTTTCTTAGCAGACTTGTATGTACTGGGATCTGGAACAGAACTGACAATTGTTGGGGGTCTTTCAGTCTTAAGTCAGAACCCTCTGATATCCCTCCAGACTGAAGTCCCTCTTCACTTTTCAAACTTAATTTTCAAACTAATTTTGTGGGGTAGCAGGATGGTTGTCAAAAGAAGTACATAGCTTATATTATTGATAATCTCCCAGAACCACCATGTTGCATTGCCAAAACAAGCTAAAACAAATGGCACGCTGAGCTGTGCCTGAAAGAATCTCTGTCAGTGTGCAGCAGCACTTAGTGAAATATGTAGCCAAACAGCAAATCTTATTTTATTCACATCAATATTACATGATTATTATCTATCTACAATACAGTGTGTTCACACATGTAATTCCTCTCCATAATATTCTTTGTGTGTTTTAATGTTAACATATAAGCAATAGATATTAAAAGAATATAGTAATGTGTACTTTGTTTAGATTTTAGACTTTGTTTAGTTTTATGTATGAAACCTGCAACTTTTATGTGGTGCTAGCACTGTATGTAGGCTATAGTCAATGTACTTAGATAACTCATAAAATTTCAGATTGAAACAAACATGATTCACTGAATAAGTTTAATTCCGATTTACTAGTAAGAGTTCACAGGAGGCCTTTACAAGTTTGCTGTGCAGCGAATGCATTATCAGTTAAAAGGCCAATAAATAGTGTCACTTCAAAAATAGACATTTTGTATTACTATTTCTGTCAAGCTTTACAAGGTTAAAGGAATCTGATATCTAATAACTATCTAATAATAATAACAATACCTGAGAAATGAGGATTTGTACTTTACTCAAGTATTGCTCAGTACTTTTACTCAGTTACATTTTCAGGATAAAAACTTCATACAATTGTATTTAGAGCCTCAGAGTACTTGCTACAAATCTCAATGACCAGGAGAGTTCTCTCTTTTTTCATTTGAATTTTCTCTTGTCATCCAGTTGGTTCCCACACTGTTATTTTTCTAAAGAATTTGGTTAAATGTTGTAATAAAAAGTGTGCTCAGCTCAGGCCAAGTATTATTTTGGACTGAAAAAAAATGCCACTACTTCTGATGTCACCTATCAGCTATCTATCAGCTTAACATTTACGTTTTACTTTTATAAACCTGAATATGTTTAAATGTTGATACCTTTTACTGGTATTTTTCTGTCTCCTATTCCACTTTTAGCTGAGTAAGATTTTGACTCAGTTTCCATACTTTCACTTTTATTCAGCGCAGTTTCTGTCTCTTTTTTCCACCTCCGGCTCCAGGCAGGCAAAAACTTAAACCAAGACAGTTCCTTGCGAGGTTTCTCTGTACAATTTACTTCTCTGTCATTGACCTCGATCCATCTACGGTCACTTACCACATGCAAGAATTTCTTCACTTTTTCCTGTACTTAGTGCATGAACAGGAAATCTTTTGACTCAAAACACAAAATAAGTTACTACTGTGAGTTCTGAGTCAGTGGGTACAGGGAATGCCTAAATCATTGTCCATACTAAGTGTTCTATGCTACAAGTTCATCAGATTAGGTTGAAAAATGCTTTGATTTAAGGAATAGTTTGGTGAAAAATCTAATTTACGTGATTTTCCACATCAAGTGCAGCCGCTCAGCAAAGACATGGTTGGTGTCCAAATTTAATGTAGAACTTGAGCTGCTAGGCTAATGGTGCTAACAAACACTGGGAGTCAGTAGACACCCAAACCATTTCTACAAATACATGCCGAAATCTTCATTAAAATGGCTAGGATAGGCCTAATTTAAACACATTAAAACTACAATTGGAACTATATTATCACTTGTGTAATGTCCTGCTTAACGGTACTACTGGACCTTCGAACTCTGGAAAGATGGAGTGCAGAAGTGTGTAAAATGGCACTACACAGGTGCATAATGTTAGCACAGTAATACCTAAGGTTTGTCTACTGTAAGAGAGTTAGAAGTTGCATATTGAATAACAATAAACTGATGCATTAAATAAGGTGCGAAAATAGGGTAATGCATTTGGGGTAAGTGGAAAATCATGTAAATTAGATTTTTATCAAACTATTTTTTTAAAGAAGCATCAACTGAAAGATTGTTTTAGAGAAACAAAGCTGGCTGCTCCAGAGACCGTCTGACACTTCTGTTTCTAAGACTGTATCTCTCTTCTACCTCTTTCTCTAGATATTTAGCTTTCGCAAGCTGTGGGCCTTCACAGGACCTGGATTCCTTATGAGTATTGCCTTTTTGGATCCTGGGAATATAGAATCTGACCTCGATTCAGGGGCCATAGCTGGGTTTCAGGTGTGTTTAAAGGAATTAATATTTTCCATTTCTGTCATTTTTTTTATTTGTGAGCACATCTAAACTCTGCATGCTTCTTTTTATGCTTTAGCTCCTGTGGGTACTTTTGCTGTCCACTGTCATCGGCCTTCTACTACAGAGACTGGCTGCTCGTCTTGGCGTGGTCACAGGGATGCACTTGGCAGAAGTCTGCAAACAAGAGTACCCCTGTGTAAGTTAACAAAGCCTTAAATAGGAAAACTGCCAATTGTGAAAATAATCTGCATAATTCAATCTTTGAGATGCAAACAAAATAATTCAGAGTTGTTTTTGCTGAAATTATTAATAACAATAATCAATAATTAAAATTAAATAATAATAAAAAATCATAAATTGTAGAGAACTTACCGACTCAGATTTCTTTACAGTGGTGGTGATAGGAAACAGAAGTCATGATGTTTACAATGCAAATATAGCCAATTTGTTTAACATTATTACTACTAGTGGATCTTCTCATGTCTTCTGAATTTTCAGTTATCATGGTGGCAATGGTAAAAAAGTGGTAAATCCAAAATTATATATTTTTGGGGGGTTACTATTTTGTACTTGGTTGATCAAACTCACATCTTGTCAGAGTGCATCTACCTTTCAGCAAAATAATAATAATAAGAAGAAGAAATGAAACCTGCAAGAATGTACATTATTTCAGGATGTAAGATATGTTTTCTAGGAAATCACAGCCACAAAATGCTTGTTTTCAAAAAATGAGGTTGAATTCACACATAAATGCAAGTATGATCTGTTTTGAAATCCACTGGATTTCTTTTGTTTGAATCAATGAAATAAATCCAGTATAACTTTGAAAGGATAATTGTGCACTAATCCTCTTCAATATCCATTTTACATAAGCTATGGGGGCTCGTGTGAGTGAAATATTTTTCCATTGTTGCTTGATGTAGTAGTTCAGCTGCTGAACTTTTCAAAGTCTCCTTTGTTGGATTTTTTGTTTCACAATGCAATATTTTTTTTCAGTGGGTGGCAGGTCTCAACTGCAGGCAGGCTAGTTTACCATCCGGACTCTTTTACTATGAAGCCATGCTGTTGTAATACATGTAGAATGTGGTTTGGCATTGTCTTGAAATAAGCAAGGCCTTCCCTGAAAAAGACGTTGTCTAGATGGCAGCATATGTTGCTCCAAAGCCTGTATATATCATTCAGCATTAATTGTGCTTTCACAGATGTGCCAGTCACCCATGCCAGTCGCTAATGCTGATAATGATTCGTTGGACCACAGGACACTTTTCCACTTTGCCTCAGTCCATCTTAAATGAGCTTGGGCTCAGAGAAGGTGGCGGCATTTCTGGAACTTGTTTATATCTGGTTTCTTCTTTGCGTTTTAGAGTTTTAACTTATTTGTGAATGCAGCAATGAACTGTGTTCACAGACAGTGGTTTTCAGAAGCGTTTCTGAGCCCATGCAGTGATTTCCACTACAGAATTGTGTCTGTTTTAATACAATGATGCCTCAGGGCCTGAAGATTACAGCCAGCCAATATTGGTTTTTGGCCTTGTCCCTTGCATACAGTGATTTCTGTGGATTCTATGGATCTTTTAATGATATTAGGTACCACAGATGATGAAATCCTCTTAATAGCTCTTTTTTTATGTTGAGAAAGGTTATTCACGAATTGTTGCACTATTTGCCCACACAGTCTTTCACAGAGTGGTGAACCCCTCCTCATCTTTACTTCTGAAAGACTCAGCCTCTCTGAGATGCTGTTTTTATACCCTAATAATGTTACTGACCTGTTGCCAATTTACCTAAGTAGCTGTGACATGTTCCACGTTTTTCTATTTTTCAAAAAATGTTTTCAGCACTTAAAAGTTTCAACACTGACATGTTGTCTTTGTACTATTTTCAATTAAACGTGGTGTTTAAATGATTTGCACATTATTGCATTCTGTTTTTATTTATATTTTGCACAGAGTCCTAACTTTTTTGGAAACAGGATTGTACTTTGGTGTGAGTGAGCATGTGTTCACTGATGGGATCACAAACTCAGAGGTGTACAAAAACATTTTGAGTCTGCAAAGAAACTGCTCAAAAGATAATCTGAAACACACCAGCTGTTTTAGGAAATAAAATGCTGCCAAAGAAAAAACAACAGAATGATCTGTTTAAAAAAAATGCCACTTGGTTTGACATTTTGCTTCCTAACACAATAAACTGAATACATTTTTAAAACATGTCCAGATACTTTTTGCTCTTTACTGCACTGAAGATGTGTGGTGTACTTATGCAGAAAACTAAAATGAATATAGCACCCCCTATCTGCATTAATAATCACCCTTTTCTGTCTCCAGGGTCCTCGTATAATCCTGTGGTTGATGATAGAAGTGGCCATCATTGGTTCAGACATGCAAGAGGTCATCGGTACTGCCATCGCTTTCAATCTGCTGTCTGCTGGAAGGTGGCATAAGCTTTCTGTCCAAATGACATTCTTGATATTATTAAGCACCAGATTTAGAGCAATTCATTTTATATTGTTTTACATATCTGAGGGACTCCCAGCCACCATAAGAGCTAGTACATGTGTGCAGTACAAACATATACGTGACCTGATGAGTTAACCTTCCAGATAGTTTATAGAAAAAATGGATGTCAGATCAAAGAAGAAAAAGACCGTCCAGATTGTTCCCAGTGTAAAGGTCTGTCATGGTATGAGGGTGCATTAGTGCTAATGGCATGGATAACTTGCACTTCTGTGAAGGTACAATTAATGCTGAAATATGTTATAATGGCATGGCTATGTAATTGGCGAGTGTGGGTTCTAGACTGGCTTGCCTTCAGTCCAGACTAGCATGCCTGCTGTATCCCATTGAAAATAATGACTTCATATGTGCAGGTGAAGATTTGTATAACAGAAAAAATATTTTAAAAATCCAGCTTTCACAACTGGATTTATTGGTGTCTACAGTCCCCAAGTGATTATTCAGGAAACTTGATGTAACACAGTGGTAAACATGCTCCTGCCTCCTTTTTGGAACATATTACATTAAATTTGGAGCAGAGCATATATTTACAAAAAAGCTCATAAGAAAAAAGACAAACGTTCTGTTTTTGGAGGTCACATTGAATTTTCTATTCATTGCTGTCTGCTTTGATTAGCATTTCACACACTGTCCCAGCTTTGTAATTGAAGTATGTAAATTGATTTGAATGGTGTGTGGCTTGGTAAAGACAGTTCAGCTTTATAGACAAAGACAGTTGAAACAGACAGAAAGTTTCATTTTTGAGCATGTTTGTGATCAGTTTTTTAGAAATAGGTTTGCAACTTCTGTACTTAATTCAGAAATTAATTAACTGTCTCACAGAGGAAAACTTCCCTCACGCTTACACTTGATGGAGCTACATCTGGTGTTTAATGACTTATTAATTACTATTAAATTATTATGACTGTATCCAATAATAATTTGACCTAATGTATTTCTTCACTCTTGCAGAATCCCTCTGTGGGGTGGAGTAATCATCACCATTGGAGACACACTTATTTTCCTTTTCTGTGATAAGTGGGGTGGGTCTATCTTACTGAAATCTAATATGTAAGAAGACATACATAATAATAGTTATGTTGAATAACACTTAACATGTCTTATTGTGCATCACTGAACAACAGGGCTGAGGAAGCTGGAGGCTTTCTTTGGCTTTCTTATCACTGTCATGGCTGTCACCTTTGGATATGAGGTATATTTAGAGAATTTGGGGACTTTTTTTTTACATCTCCCCTTTCAAAGACTTTTACCATGTGTAGAGTGTGTGCCTGATAGGTCTGTGCCCTGTGATGGTTAACTGAGATACCGTGGTGAGAGCCCCCAGTAAGGGTAAAACTCAGCCGGTTTAAAAAACGTATTGATTTATTTTGATTTATTTTGAGCACTCCTTAGGAAGACACTACTATTCTCACATCTAAACATAGCTGAGCTTTTAAGCATGTTGTTTGATGAGATATACTACATTTAAACCACATTTGTTGTAGCTAACATAGATTAGTTTGTTGTAGAAACATGACTGTTGAGCTGCACTGGTTGAACACTCTCGGTGCTGCAGGCAGAAATGCCTGTATAAAAAGCTGCCCGTATGGTATGGTGTAGATTTTAGAACATCCTCAAATCACAGTGTCAGGTTTCAGACATCAGGCATTGAATCTCGAGAAAAATACATGAATAAAATAATGTCTCGGCCCTCGTATATTAAGTGAAATGGGCCTTTTTAAACAGAGAAATGGCATTTGAAGAAGTAGGCATCAGGCTTAGAGAATTACATTCTCTTACTAAATTAATAACAGTTTTGTGGCTCACACGCTATTGAGGAAGTCCTAAATTAGTCCTAAAATTACCAGACAAAAAGTGTTGCTATTATTGTTGTTTTATTGTTATAAAAAAAAAACCTATTTGTGGAATTAATAATAAAATGGAAAACAAAGGAAAAAAAAGTCTAGTTTAACTGTTTATCATGTTCACACAATGGTAATAATAATAATAATAATAATAATAATAATAATAATCTGTAATTATATGTCAGTTTTACGATTTAGGAAATGGTTCTGTGAACATGTATTGTTTACTATTACACTGGCATTAATGGAAGGCATCACATTGCATAAGAATATAATGAGAACGGATTCTGAAGCAGGTCTACATGCTCTTTTCTTCCTGTCCTCTTCCAGTATGTGATTGTGGCTCCAAACCAGGCGGAGGTGCTGAAGGGTATGTTTGTTCCATACTGTCGGGGCTGTGGATCAGCACAGCTAGAACAGGCTATAGGAATAGTTGGAGCTATAATAATGCCTCATAACATCTACCTGCACTCAGCCCTCGTTAAGGTAAGACAATGTGCTGTGTCCATCTTATTGACTAAAAAAATAAATAAATCTTTGAATATTCTTCTTTTTTAGAGATGTATAGATTTACATTTATTTACATTAATACATTATACATACAACATTGTTTTTTATTATTAATTTACAAAATTGCTTGGATTGTTAAAGTTAACTTTATCATACAGCTCAGAATGTACACAGCAAAATGTTTTACTGTTGGGCCCTAACTGTGTTACTACAGTTTATTGTATGGGACACGTTTAACTGGGAAATGGGGACTTTTGGACTTGAAAAACACTGAATATGGGGATATTTTGGATTTGAACAATAATCTGGGATAATATCAATTATAGCAGGATTCAAAACATTTTTAAAAAGGTTTTAAAAATTTTAAGGCCTACATAATCATGCGCACTACCACCCAAAGTAGTAACATCATAATAGAATCATTTTATATCTTCAACAAATTTGTTTGACTATAATGAAAATGTCATTATAGTCAAACAAATTTGTTGAAGATATAAAATGATTCTATTATGATGTTACTACTTTACAGATTCACCGATATAAATATGTAGGAAGCTGTAATGTACTGATGTACAGCTGTTTATGTACATGATTCCATAATGACCGAGAAAGCTGTACAACATTGAGAATGAAATTATAATAAAATTAATATCATAATGCCTCATATCTCAATCAAACATATCATAATGGTCAGATAACTCATAAAGACATTACTATAAATAGATAACTGGAGTGTATTTTTTATAATTTAATAACTTCTCTGTGTTCCCAAAAACTTGACATACTGAATACTCACTCACTCACTCACTCATCATCTAAGCCGCTTATCCTTGTGGGTTTCGGGGGGTGCTGGAGCACATCCCAACGCTCACTGGGAAAAAGACAGGAAACACCCTGGACAGGCTGCCAGTCCACCAGAGGGCAGACAAACAGACATACACATTCTCACAGTACACTCACACCTAGGGGCATTTTAGTATCTCCAATTCGCCTGACCACATGTCTTTGGACTATGAGAGAAAAGCCAGGCAGATATGGGCAGAACATGCAAACTGCACATAGAAAGGACCCTGGTTGCCCACTGGGGAATCGAACCTGCTTGCTGTGAGGCAACAGCGCCACCCACTTACTACCCAATTATTAATATGAGAAGCTTTTAAATGGTGGTGTATAGGCAGTATTTGTCTTTTGTGTTTAATCATATCAAATTCAGGATTTTATGAACGATATTTCTAAAGATTCTTAACACCAGTATAGTTTAAATAGCACATCCTCCAACTGCAATTGTTTTGTTAAGACCAATCAAGGCAACGTTTGGCGTTTAACCTAAGATAAGCGATGTCTAGTATGTGAAAGGACTGACGCCCTGTCTTCTCGTTTTCCACAGTCGCGGCAGATAGACCGAGCTAATAACAGAGAGGTAAAAGAGGCCAACAAGTACTTCTTCATTGAGGCCAGTATCGCACTCTTTGTCTCCTTCCTCATCAATGTGTTTGTGGTGGCTGTCTTTGCTGAGGCTTTTTATGGAAAAACAAATATGCAGGTGGTAAGTATTGCACAAGCTCCACCCTTAATCAGGCGACTGAAAAGACTGCAGTTTTTCATGTTCCATTGTTAAAGCCACAAGAGCAGTTTAAATTACATTAATGTAATGATGTAATTTTAATTAACATAACAGTTCAGACCCATATTTATATGACTAATTTATTTAAGCACTCATATCACTGATGACTCTTTGAATGATTTATTAAATTAAAAAGCCCATATTTATGATGAATCATTGATTTAAAACACCTACATTTATGATGACTCATTAATTTAAAATTCCTATATTTGTGATGACTAAATCTATGACTTTTAGAGGCAACAGTGTAACCAGTCAGGAAGTTCGTACGCAGGCCTCTTCCCCTACAACAATGAAACATTGGAAGTCGACCTCTACAAAGGGGTACGTCAGAAACTGTCATTCAAATGTATTTTTGGAACAGAAAAATTATTTGATGAGTTGAAAAGCTGATACAGTTGCATTTAAAAATTTGGGTGCTCCTGGTCAAATTACGTTTTTTTGATTTGCGAAGCAAAATTAAGCTAACCCACCCTCTACAGAGAACACACTTCTGCACACTGGAGCACACTATTGCTATTAATTAATTAATTAATTAATTAATTAATTAAACATATGGGGAAATAAAATAAAATAAAATGTGGTCTGTGCAAAAGTTATGGCACTTTTTACATTGTATGTTTTTTCTAATATGTTGAATTCAGATAATAGAAACAATTTTTTTAGTTACAAAATCAACAAAATCTGGAATTTGACCAGGGGAGTTTAAACTTTTGCATACTACTGTATATGTAAGCCACTTTTGCAGAAATTGCCCCCATCTGCTACCTTTTACACATACATTTAAATATTCATCAGAGTTGTGTCTGAGTGCAGATTCAAACTCCACATTATGAAACTATCGTGACGTTCAAATGAGTGGTGTTCTGAAAACTATTACACAGCAGGATCAGCCTCTGCTGCTTTAAACAAGCACCAACCACCAGTCCTGTATTCACATATGGTGCATCCAGATTGTCTTTGTCAACTCATAAAGTCGGAAAACTGTCACATCACCAGATTGTAATGAATTGTTTTTATTCAGGTGGTCATGGGCAACTGATACTTTTATTATACGAGCAGGCAACATGTTTGGATGTCGTCTATGCTTGGTCTGTTGTTTTCACATGATATTAGAGAATGCTCTGACTGGTGATATGTCACAACTTGGTATGAAACTTGCATGAGTTTACCACATGAATTCATGACTTTGTAAGCTGCAGCCTTTTGTGGTTCAAAAATAGATGCGTTTACAAGGACTATCTGAACATGACACGTCCCACGTTGGTTACATGAAAAGTGATCTAATTCATACAGATATTAGGACAGCAAGATAATAAAAGGACAGAGTATAACTGGATTTTTTCATTAAGCACAATCATGGACTACTCCTTTACATATGTTGAGGTCTTCCAGGAGTGCCAAATCTGCCATGATTGCATGCTTGACCCTCAAGCATTTTTGTATTTACACCTACCACTCAATTAAAGAACCAAAAGTTACAAATTATATGTTGGCAACATTAAAAGTTGTTAGTAAAAGCATTTGTGTAATTATAATCCTTATTGATGTTTTTTTAATTTTATTATAATGGTGTGTTACAACCTGTCTAGGGGTTTGTAATGATCATAACATAAAAAAGGACAAAAGAGAGCCAGAGGACGTTTAAACAGATCAAGTCATGTTATTTTCTTTTTATGCTGCTCTTTTGGGTACACGACACAGGGGAACGTCAGAGTGGGCATACGCCAAAACAACAAACAAAAACCAGCCTAGCTAGAGAGTTCAGGAAACTAACTTATCTAAGGGAAACAAAAAACAAGAAACAAAAACACAGTCAGTCTTCCCTAACTCCCTATCTATACCAAAACAGGAGAAAACAAAGTAAAAAAGAAATGGCACCCACTCCTACAACCGGCATAAGAGTGAACATTTACAGAGACAGATCATGAGCTTACGGTTTAACTGTAGAGATAACTGGATAAAGAACAAGAGGTTAAGCTAAGCTATTTCATTGGACATAAGGACAGACAAGCCATAAAACAAACGAGCTGAGCTGCGGTTCAGATCTACAACAAACGCCCCAAGCCCGCATGGAGGAAAGCCTCGATGACATCCAGCGCAGCCGTCGAAGAAATACTCCATTCAATTTCAGGCAGCCAATCAGACGCACGAGTGGGCAGGTTCCTAATAAGCAAGAGTATGAGAGAGAGAGAAAGAAAGAGAAGCAAGCAAAACAAAGCATACGTCCTATGGACGTAACATGGTATTATAATACTTTGTTATTAGTATTAATACTGATTTTGATGATTTAACAGCAAATAAAACATTGCTCAGGTTTTCAAAGGACCCGTATCATGGAACACAGAATTTTCTCACTTTTTTAAAAATAAAATTCACTCTCCAATCCATACAGTCAATATATGGAGGCTAAGCTGTTTTGACTTCTTTTTTTTGTCATGTCACAAAAACCAACACATTAACATATATCTGTCCCGTTAACCTACAGCAGTTTAGCTCCACCCATTTACGCTTGAGTTATAAGAAGTGTTTCAGCGCTTTTTGAAAGAGACACAATACAGGGCAGCCAATCAGAACAGAGCTCATCTATCAGTCTTAAAAGCACAGTAACAAAAAAAAACACGCTGTTTAATTGTACATGATAACGAGAGGCTAGAAAATGATCATGTAAAAATGAATTATGATAGAAATGTTGTAGACTTCATAAAACCGTCTGTGAAATAAGGCGCACTGCAAGTTCAGTTGCATATAGTCTCATAAAATCTCTGAGGGCAGTTTACATGAAACATTCACTTAATTTCCTGATTTTTTCGTAACACAGGGTGCAGTCCTGGGTTGTTACTTTGGCCCTGCAGCGCTTTATATTTGGGCTATTGGAATCCTTGCAGCGGGACAAAGCTCTACCATGACAGGCACATACGCTGGCCAGTTTGTGATGGAAGTAAGAGAACTTAAAGGAGTGCAGCAGTTTTCTGAAGTTTTTTCAGCTGTTTTACAGAGAACAGTTTGTGGTACACACATGGCTGTACTTGTTCCCATTGTTTTCCTCACACTTTCCCTCTTCTTCTCTCTATCCTAAGGGTTTTCTTACACTCAACTGTTCCCGCTTTGCTAGAGTGCTGGTGACACGCTCAATTGCTATTGTCCCCACCCTACTGGTGGCCTTCTTCCAGGATTTAAAGGACCTCACTGTCATGAATGACTTATTGAATGCACTGCAGAGCATACAGGTTGGTCAGGACTCTAATCTTACGACTGTAGGAAGTTTATCTTAAACTAATGATGGTAGTGCCATTGTGACTGTACTATACCTACTATGTAACATTGCTTGTTTTTTTTTTCTTTTCTTTTTCACAAATAGTTGCCGTTTGCTTTATTCCCGATTCTGACTTTCACCAGCCTGACGAGAGTTATGAATGATTTTGCTAATGGACTGTGAGTATCACTACCCATAGTGCAGCTGTCTCAGTTGATTTATAGGGTAGGAATACTATGCAAACCAAAATCAAAGTCAAAAAAGGCTGGCCAAGATCAAAAAAGACACAAAGTCCAATAAATTGCAAGGTAAAAGGCTCAGAGTTGCAGGGATATGCTAACAGTGTTGGAGGAAAAGTGTGAGAGTATTTGTAAGGGAGCTGATGAGAGGAGACTGAGAACAGGTGTGTGAGAGGTACGGTTAGTATTCAGGAGATGATGACCTCCTATATATAAAAAAGCTGCATTGGAATTACAACCATAATCACATGCCTTATTTCTGTGTTATAATTACAGAGTGTGGAAAATTGGTGGAGCTCTGACCATCCTGGGCATCTGTGTAATAAATATATACTTTGTGGTGGTCTATGTGACTGGTCTCAACAGTATAGCAGTCTATGCCATCACTGCTGTCCTCTCTATTGCCTATGTGTTTTTCGTTGTTTACCTGGTGAGTGTGCTAATTTACATTCATTAATGCAATCTTTATGTCCAATACATTCATTACAGCATCAAATACTTAAAGTCTCTTCAAGGACAAGTCATAGTAAAGCTCTTGGACGTCAAATCTGTTTTACTAGCATAAACACATACTATACAGTATTATGAGAAAGTGTCTGTTAGTGCTGTACTCGTAAGTCGGCAGGTGAAGTGACTCCTAATTATGATTTCTAGATGTACATTACAGTGAGTTTACAACACTTCTCTTTTCCTGTCTTCCCAGGCGTGGAAGTGCTTGATTGCCCTTGGTGTCTCCTGTCTGGATGTAAGCTGCAGAATGAGGAACCCAAGATCAGTTCTTGTTGAGGATCAATTAGACTCAGATTCTTAAGCAGATGGTTGGGACCAGTGCAAGCCACTAGCAGGAAAACATTTTTTGGAATTTTACTAAATATCACCTTTTTATTAAATATTGCACAGTAGTGTTTTAACATTAACACTTTCTGTTGCAATATATGGCAACAGATTCTGTAGAGTCTGGTCTGAGTACATTTATTCTACAGTCTAGTAAGCACTTTAAAATAATGGTTCCAAAATGGTTCTTGGCTTGGTCATACAGTTAGGAAAAAACTTTAGTTGGTGTGGAATATTTGCATGATATGGAGGTTCTTCAAACTTCAACACCTATATCTCACTTACGAAAATTGTTCTTGGAGAAATCATCCATTGGAAGGTCCTTTGGGGAGCCAATTGTGGTTCTTCTACAGCAGAAGTCTTTATCCTTGGTCCTGGATTTTGTATTCTCTACAGGGTATGGTACTAGGTGGCCAATTGGTTATATCAACTGTTTAATAAATCATTTAAGGCCGATGTTAATCTGCCCTCTCAGTTAATACAATGTAATGTCATTTAACAAAACTGAAAATGCATAGATTTAAATTTTTGTTAGTGTCACAAACTACTTTTTTGAACAAAAAATGCACGAATAGAAATATAAATCACACATTATTTACATTATCTGTAGTTACTCTGATTAAATACAACAAAAATAAGTGTTTGCCAATCCAAACTGCACTGAAAATGAGTTCATGTGCTCACTTGGGAAAAATCACAGCGCATCCAACAATAATAAAAGACTTTACATAATAGAAGCATATTTAATATAATGATAGAAAACTTGTTAGCACAGATTTCATAATTCCATTTCGCAATGGCCAGTGTGGACGTGTACATGCCATTACTCTTCTGGCGGCACATTTAAATGAGTTAAGGGAAAAGTCTCTGAATGGATTTTTTTTTAACAATTGGTATTTGAATATTCCAAAGAGAAACCATACTATTTTATTGTGTTATTCATGCCAAGCAGTGCTCTGGAACAGTAACCCTGGTGTTCTTTGTTTGTAATATAATCATGAACAAATACTATCCAACCATTTCATTATGTTTTTGAATAACTATGCGTTGTCCTAATACACATCTATGTTTATTTCTGAGGCATCCTCAGTGATTTTGTTTTAAACTGGGCCTGGTTCTATGGCATGGCCCCAAAGGACCTTTTTGGTACCTTTGTTTTAAATAGTGAACAAGTTTCTGTATACTGACTGCATGTTCATAAGCTGTTTGACATATTGTTGTAATTAACTGTACAGTACCTAAATAGCACTCTAACCATCTTTTAATCTATTACACCACAGGAAGTCTATAGCAACAAATTATACATTTAGAGGATGAGCTAATAAAATAGTCAGCCTTATTTAAAGTGTTACTCTTAAATAGTTCCACTGTCTATAACAATATCTTGTTCCTGCATCACAAATATATTGATGGTTTTTCCCATGCACACCTCCAGAGGTCGCATTATCCCCAATATTGAGCTGTTTGCGACCTGCTGCTGCAACCAACCGTCCCTTAATCTAGGGGCTTTATATATTCACACTGGTCAGTCTCTCTTTGTGAAGTCTTTGTATGTTTTCGGATTATGAGTTGGATTTCTTTGCATGGACTTCATCTGGTCATCTGTTTTATTTAATGTATCAGCTTCTAGTTGGCTTTTAAACCTGTACTTGCATTCTACTAGTTTGATAGGATCTGTTACTTCCTGGTCCTCCCTGACAAGTTAAAAAGAACAATGCAAATGCTACAAAAAGATATATTAAATAAGGCTATTAGCTTTAAGCATGTAATATAATAAACATGCTGTTTTGTCAAAAAAACATATTATTACTATAATATTGGATACTGAAAAATGGTTCATGCTCAAAATACGTAATAATAAAAGTGGTTGCACAGAACTGAAATATCACATCAGCACAACTGTTATCTTTAAGTTTCCTTTTTTGGTGAGAATCGTGTTGATTTATTTACTTTTTGTTCATGTGCGACTGCTTGACATATTTTAATCATATATATTCAAGATGCCATTTTTGTTTTTTTTTCAGCATACTTCTGATTATTAACCTTTCCAGTCAGTTTATTAGGAGTCGTGTCATTAGTCTCTGTTACGTGTAAGCATGTATTGTTTTTTTTGTGTGTGTGTGTGTGTTTGTGTGTGTGTGTCTCTCTGTCTCTCTGTCTCTCCCTTCACAGGGGTACCTGCTCTAGTCAATCATGTGAGGATGATCTCTAACCAACCAGAGGCCTGGCTGGTGCAGTTGGGGGAGGAGCCTACGTTTTAAAAAGAGGCCTTCAAGATGGCTGAAGAGAGAGAGGACTTTTATCATGTGTGCTGTTTTAGTTTGTGTGTTTAATCTCTTGTGTTGGGAGTGTGCTTTGTTTTAGGTTACCAGTGCTTCTTTCAACTTAGTTTGCAAGACGTTGTCTTTTATGTTAGGGGAAGTACTTGAGTGGTGGTATTTTACCTGCACACTTTAAACTTTTACAAGAGATTGTTTGTACCACCTGGGGTTTCAAACAGGTAGGAGGGGTGCGCCTACACATTCGCACTGCATAGATGTCTACTCTGTCTAGCTCCTTAGGTAAGAGGGCAGGCACCGCTACATGTACTTTTGGTTACTGGCTAGGGAAGTTTAGAGTAGTTAGCTTTTGTTTCAGAGTAGGCAAGCATGGTTAGGTTTTGTTTTGTTCTTTTCTTTGGTGCCATCCACAGTTTGATTCTTCCAGTGTGATTCTAAGTATCATAGCACACCAGTTTTATTGTGGTTTGTTTTAATAAAGTGGCTTCAAAAGCTCTATATTGGTCTGTTCCTCAAGCTTTTAATCCATCATCACCAGTTCAATATTTTAATGCCACATGTTATTGATCCCACAGCACTCTAGACAAAATGTGAGGTCGTAACAGTCTGTTATCTAAAATCAACTACCATCTGTTTAGTTTCATCTAAATTAAGCTTTAAAACCTCTACAGGTCCCCAGTGGAGAGCATTCTGACCAGATGTCTGAGGAAAACCAGCAGTATCACCTCAGACCCTACCGACTTCAGATACGTTCTATTCCACTCACTGCCAGCTAAGAAGAGATATTTTAACATTCAAGTCAGAACTACCAGGTTCAAGAACAGTTTCTACCCTTGACATGTTTAACTGGTCACGGTCACATCAGACCACGAGATCATTAATGCAAACCCTACTCAAACTATAGTTAGTATTCTATGATATCACACTTGCCGCCCCTACCATATTGTTGACGTGCCACCGACAGTGTTGACAGCAGGGATAGTGGCACATGTAGAGCCACCGTTTGTACACCATAAGTTAATAAAACACAGCAAAGAATATTGCTGACCCTTCCACAAATCAAAGATTTATATGATTCTAGCGATTTTTATGCTTTTATCTCCTGCAATGTGTTTGCCGATGCAATATTTAGAAGATTATTTTAGATACCTGGTTAAGTTATTGCAGGCAATAATGCCTAATTGGGAGTCAAAGATAACTTATTTTTTGGTATGGATTACTATTAGTTATTGATATTACTATTGATTATTTATTATTATTGGTATTATTATTGATTACTATTAGTTGTTGATATTACCTTAGATCGAACTGACTTTTTCTTGATATCTTAATTTGGAAGCCATAGCTGGCATTAACTGTGCAGATTATGCTGACTAAATGCCAACAATATGGCTGCAGGATGCTTTTTCCAGGTTTGCTGTAACTATCTATATATGCATATTGCTCTTTAATCTAATTCTGAATTCTTTCCATATTACTGCAGCCCAACTTCATATGTGCTTGAAATGAATGCTAGACTTTACTGAACACTTAAATATGGTTTACACACTGGTCGTACCTCTGTGAATGCACAGATATTTTGCAATTATGTTGTATTTACTGTCTGTGCACCAGTACACTTGCAAGACGCAGTGCACTTCTGTGTCTCTAGTTTATTCTGTATTTATAGTCCATTGATTGTCATTTTGTACTCATTTTTAATACATATTGTGTATTATCCCACTAATAAATGTGCATTCATGACCTGGTCTTAATGTTGATGCAGAAAATTATTTTGAATATGTTTTGTTGAACTGTACCCACATACAAATATGACAAAAAAAATGTACTGAATTGGATTGAAATGAATTATTGCACTGCTGCACAACCTCCACAGTTGGGCCATGACTGCCTTTAATGTCTTTGAGAAAACTAACAGTCCTTAAAATATGAAATATGCCTTTATGCAAACTCCAACAGTCATTTATGTATGAAATAAAAAGGGAAGAGGAAAACAATGCATCCTTTTGGAGATTCAGTGAAAGAAAGAAGACTATCAGTAAACAAGTCATTTAACTTTACTTCTTAAGAGAAAATGCATTTACAACTATCAAGACACACTTGTGTAATTGCATGAGTAAAAACTGAAGTTTATACATGATCACATAAGCTGCACTTCTGTAATTCATCTGTAACACTGAATACATCACTATTAGTTACATTGTTCTTGCATGTACAGTTGATGTATAATTACACAGTTTTAGAGACAGTTAATATTAAGATTAACCTTTTTGTTTTGAAACACTTATTTGAGCATGCATATGAATGTGTTGAAATATTCCTCAGACTCGAGTCACCTCTTATTGTGACTCTGATTGAAGAAGTGTATCAAAGGAACTTTTGAACTAAGAGAAAAAACGACTTGAAAGAAAAAGGATTGAAGCCCCGGAGATGTGGTCACCATGAGGAACTGAAAGGGTCAAACAGGAGTCAGGTCATATCATCTGATGGTAAGGGTGGGAAAGCTCATGCTTATGTAAGAGGCATGTGTTTGGTTACACACAATCACAGCAGAAGCTGATTCAAGAAAAAAAAGAAAGAAAAGCTGGTTACATAGTCAACGTAATACTACACCATATGGACAAAAGTTCTGGGACACATCTCTTAATTATTGAATTTAGGTGTTTCATTCAGTCCCATTGCCACAGGTGTATATGCTCCTAGCCATGCAGTTTTCCTTTACAAACATTTATGAAAGAATGGGTTGATCTAAAGAGCTCAGTGAATTTGAGTGTGGTACTGTAATAGTTGCAACATGTCAGTTCCCAAAATTTCTTCCCTCCCACATTTTCCACAATCAACTGTAAGTGCTATTATTGAAAAGTGGAAGTGTTTAGGAACCACAGCATCTCAGCCAGGAAGTGGCAGACCACGTAAACTTACAGAGTGGGGTCACCGATTGCTGAGGTGCATAGTGCATAAAAGTCACCAACACTCTGGTGACTCAATAACTGCAGAGTTCATAACCTCCTCTGGCATTAACATCAGCATAATGCGTCTGGAAGCTTCATGGCATGGGTTTCCATGGCCGAGTAGCTGCATGTAAGCCTTACATCACCAAGCACAATGCCAAGCACTGGATAGAGTGGTGTAAAGCACATCACCACTGGACTCTGGTGCAGTGGAAACATATTCTGTGGAGTGGTGAATAACACTTTTCTATCTGTCAGTCTGATTGACGGGTCTGGGTTTGGCGAATGCCAGGAGAACATTACCTGCCTGACTGCATTGTGCCAACTGTAAAGTTTGGTGGAGGAGGGATAATGATATTGGGTTGTTTTTCAGGGGTTGGTCTAGGCCCCTTTAGTTCCAGTGAAGGAAAATCTTAATGCTTTAGCATGCTAAGATATTTTGGACAACTGTATGCTTCCAACTTTGTGGGAACAGTTTGGGGAAGACCCTTTTCTGTTCCAGTGTGACCGTGACCCAGTGCACAAAGCAAGGTCCATAAAGGCATGGTTGGGTGAGTTTGGTGTGAAAGTCCATCGAACACTTTTGGGATGAACTAGAAGAGAGATTGTGAGTCCTCTCATCCAACACCAGTGTCTGACCTTACAAATGCTTTTCTAGATGAATGAGCAAAAATTCCCACAGACACACTCCAAAATCTTGCAGAAAGCTTCCCAGAAGAGTGGGAATACTTCTGTCCATATAGTGTATAAAGAAAAACAGCAAAAAAAAAAAAACTTACAAAACAAAATAGAAATAATTGATAAAGAAATAGGTTCCAGAGACAACTGCTTTACTATTATTATTATTATTATTATTATTATTATATTTATTTATTTATTTATTTAAATGTGGACTGTTCTGAATATGAAATGAATGTTATCCAAATATATGGAAAATCCCATGGGAACCCTCAAGGTCTTTCTCTGAACTAAAATAAAAATAAATTCTGTTATTTAGGTTATTTAATTTATAATAGTGCTTGATGTATTCAAGCTCTGTAACTATTGCAGTACTACTCTTGTTTAATTTTTAAATAAATACCCAACAGAAAACTATCCTATCAGAATTTATTTTTCTGTCTCAGTGTTATATATCTGTGATACTCACAGCCATTAAGGAGCTGAATTGAAGTCCCAATTTATCAGCTTAACTAATAACATAATTATGGACTGACAGTGAAATCAAACAATCACATTTTAATTTACAATGAATGAGACTAATTTTGTGAGGATGTGTCACTGACCACAAATATGAGTGCTAGTGTGATCAAAGTGTTTCAGTCAAAATTTTAACAATATCACACAGCAGCAGCAGCAGCAGCAGCTCTATGCCAGGTCTATTAACTGAAAGAGTCATGACACTAGCTTAGTGCTAACGTACGACTAGAATACCAAAGGGGCGCTAAAAGAATGTATCATTATCATAGAGGCATTTTTTTCCTTGTTTTATGAAAGGTTTGACATTTATGAGCAGAACTGAAGGCCCAGCTCTGATAGTCACTAATTGTTTAGCACTGTATATCAAGTCAGCCAATGCAGACATGAACAGATGTAAAGATTAGTTTTCATAAACTGCAGGAGCCCACACTTGATTTTACAGTGGTCAAACAATATGCCTTTCAAAACTGTTAAACATCAATTTTCTATCTCTGGACAACATTTTAAGATTCAACGATTGTAGAGAAATTTTGCTGTTTAAGTCACGGTTTGTTCATAGTAAATAAAATCAGGGACATCGTGCATGTAATCTGGATTAAAAGGACAAGTCAGTCTGAAGTGGAGATAAGATCCAAATCAACTTGTTTTCAGTGGTATATATATATATATATATATATATATATATATATATATATATATATATATAT